ATAAGTGCAATGAGTGTCATATCTCTTTTTATGATTGTTTTCCCTTTATTAGCAATAAATCAATAAAAAATTTAATCTAAAAACTTAAAATCTAATTAAATTATATCATAAACAAACATTGCTACCATATCTAACTACATATCATGGAAGTTGCAAAAATATTTTGCCATTTAATTACTAGCAGTAGTAGTATTTTTTAATAAAGAAGTGCAAATATAAAGGATATTAACATGTTTGAAATTAAAAAAAGATTATATTTTGTCATACAAAGACGGATACATCTGATGAATTACTCTCAAGTGAAAGCTAGACATAAAACTAGACATACTGAACATTTTATTTATTTAATGCTTGCATGTATATTTATGTATTTAATTAATTAAATGACAGAGTTGTTACAGCAAAGGGGAAACTAAATTAAACAGATTTATCTCAAATAATTTCTTGGAAGCCAAATTTTGATCCTTCAGCACTGCAGCATTTTTGACCTATGCCTCAACACTCAACACTTGACCTATGACTTTCAACACTAATTCTCTTCACTAATTCTTCCCTTGCTCCTCTCCAAGCCTGTACGGCACTCCAAGTGACCTCGGAAGTAGATACGATGACCCTTCATTCTGTAGAGTCCAAAACATACATCTTTATCAAAATAACCTCAGCGTGAGAGCGTGGGAAGACACGGAGAGTGGTATTCATCATTTAAACGATTAATTTCCTTGTCCTGTCCTTCCCCGGATCTATTAATATCGTTCCTGAGGTGTAAGTATGCATTTCCCGTCGATGAGATTTATTCCGATATCATACCTTCCATTACTCATCCCGCAGCACCTGCGATTTAGGAGTCAAATCAAATTCAATATTTTTTAATCAGAATATGAAAATCTTAACTTGATCAAGCCATCTTCTGGTATTACTTTGCTCATTTCTCACAAGAAGAGTCTTGAGGGCTCATTTTTGGAGAATTAAATTCGAATGTTTTGTAACAATTGTTAGAGAATGACAAATTAAAAATCCCAGCAAGGTGTCAGTAAACATTAATCAGATGGTCCAGCTTTTTTTGCCAAGTAATTTGCCTTAATATTTAAATGTTCTTTAATAACTCTGATTATTAAAGGATTCTGCGGATGTCTCCGCACCGTTTCTCCGCTGGCGGATTGCGGCACGCTTGTAAAACGCCTCAGAGCAGAGCTGCTACATTTATTAAAACACGCCATGATTTGAAGCTGTCGGGGCTGAGGAATTATCTGCCGTCGAGAGGGGGCTTTGTTCAATTAGATATCGCCACTGCTTTAAAACACTTTAGATTCCCCTGTAATCCATTGGCATCCTGTAATTAATCAACTAATTCCAAGTCTCAAGATGGCTGTAATTACGGCACCTCGTAATAGCTTATTCTTTCTGCTCCAGCACCTACATTTCATTTGTTTATTTTCTCACACTCATAAATCTGGGGGAAGTGTCAAGAGCGCCACAATATTAGTGCAATAATCAAAGTTAATTATCAGACGGCCCTCGCGCCCCCCTCCTGCTAATAATGGAGGCTATCAGAGAGATCGGTCTCGGCTCGGGCTGTGAGCACAGAGCCACGGGCAAAAACCCAGCCACACAACTTCAAGACGACATGAATATTAATTAAGAATTAGACTGTAAAAGTGAGAAATTAAAAAAGGAGTTGAAAGCTAGAGGATGTTTAGGAGAGGTTTGAGATTTTAAGTTTGTTTGATTTCAGACGTTAAAAGTCTTTTACAAGAGCAGCATTTTTTTAACCTAAATTAAGGATGTTTTGCAGAAGTTCTAGATATAAAAGAGCAGACATTTATTACCAGAAACATATTTTAGAAAAACACAGATGTTTGCCCAATGCAATTCCACTGAACATGTGTTCTTAATGGCTGGGTAAAAAATATCGATAATTTTTATGGAACGATATCGATTCTTAAATCCCAAGAATCGATTAGTCTAGTCTGTTTTCAGTTAATGGACGAAACATTGAAGGGCACTTCCCATCCAATATATCGCAATAAGCATTGTGCTGTGGTACTTTTAATATGAAACAAAGTCTCAGATTTCAAATTATGTCCATTGTATTGTAATATTCAAACAATAAATGCCGTTTTGGCGCTGTTTAATGTGGAGTGACAGATCGCTGTAGCGCCTCAGTTCAACAGACGCAGCAGCGCGAGGCACACGTGACCTGATCATCTCCTCCACATTAATACCAGTTTCAGCACAAAATAAACATGACTAAACATCCGAAGGCAAGTTAAAAAGAAAGAGTACAACTTTACAATCCGTATCCTGTCTCATGTAATCGCTCAATTAGTGTTTCGGCCGCGCAAGGACGTCAATATAACGTCTTGTAAACCATGTCACGTAACGTCACATTTACCTCAGAAAAACATATTCGGTGACCATAAACTGTAGAGAGGGGCATTTTACTAAATATATGCACCATATAACATATTCATTATAAATTTTACTGTTATTTAATGTTTAATTTATGTTTGAATAAATCCATCAAGTTTTCATCAACATTAGTTGAGATTTTTTTTCCTTGAGAAAATTTGTTTGTACTGTACCTGATATATATCCAAAATAATCGATATTGAATCGAATCGGTAATCAAATCGCAAGCTTGTGAATGAGAATCGAATCGTGAAATTTGTGTCAAAACCCAGCCCTAGTTCTTAAGTTATTGCAGCGTTAACAAATGGGGCGCTACTGTTAAGACCCATTCACACCAAGATCAAGAACTATAAAGAAGACTATAATTATAACTATATTAGCATCCACACCAACCTTTTGTCATCTGCCACTTTAAATTTGGGTGGATTCTGATTAGTTTTTTTTTTTTTTTTTT